AGGAAGATAAGCTATCCTGGAAGTAAGGTTTATGCATCAAATAAATGTATTCTATAAAATTCTGTGCATGCTAGGGGTCAGAGTTGGGCTCTTCACACTTCCAGCAGCCAAAACACACAGGATAACTCAGTCTGTCATGATTCAATATCCTTAAGATAAAACAAAAAAGAATTAGAATATTTTTACTCCCCTGGTCTTCATAAAGAGGATGCTATATAATATAACAAAGACTCAAGCAACATCCTTGCAGTTGATTTCTCAGACAGCTTTGGAAGACCATTCTTAGAACAACCCTTACAGATAACATGACAATAATAAATGCAAATGCTGGAGAGAAAGGCTCCTTGCAGGTCTAGATTCACCAGAAACAGACTATGTTATCCAGACTAACCTGAAATAGAGAGGCCTCATGCATCACTTGCCTTTAAAATTATAAACAAAGTTTGATATGCAAATCTGTTTTTTTCTGGGAAATATGCCTATAGTTTCGTAACATTCTCAAAAGGAAGCATGACTCAAGAAAAGTTAAGAATCACTGATCTAAAGAACTAGGCTGGATTATGGGTATCCTTCAGGCAACCATCCATAAGCATTTCTCTTCTGAGCTTCTGAGAGTATTGCACCTAAATGTGGAACTGATATGAAATGTGGGATTTTTTCAGTCATGTATCAACTGTCAAGATATATATGACTTTCCACTGGACTATGGTGGTTAAGATGTTTCACGTGTCCAAAATCTTTTAGTAACACCCATAAACATATGTAACACATAACAATCAATTCCCTGCATAAATTTCAGCTATGAACACTGACAAAGAACCTCAAACGATTAGTGATATTTTTTCTACATAGTATTTTTTTTAATTTATTGCCTATGGATAAAACTACAGATAAGCACAAAAAGCAGTCATTTTCTTAGATAAACATTATTTTGAACTTCAAATTTTAAAACTAACAACCCTTCTACACCAATTGATACAATCTGAGCTTTTTTTTTACTTTTTGTTTTAATCTTACATTATACCACATAAACTCATAGCTTTAGATATGTATATATAGTCATCCTTCTCATAGACTAAGAGATTAAGATGTCCCAAATGTTCAAGAGGATCAAGTGAAGAAGCTGGCCTGTAGGAACTTAGAGACAATAGTCCTTAAGATTTCATCCATCTAAATGAAATCACAGCTACATAGAATCTAATTTTCAGCATATCAAGTCCAGAGATATATTTCTGTCAAAAAATCCATGGTTGCCAGATGCAGTGGTACATGTCTTAATCCCAGTGGCTTGGGAGGCTGAGACAGGAGGATTGCAAGTTCAAAGCCAGGCCTCAGCAAAAAGTGAGGCATAAGCAACTCAGTGAGACCTGTCTCTAAATACAATACAAAATAGGGCTGGGGATGTGGCTGAGTGGTTAACTGCCCCTGAGTTCAATCCCTGGTACCCACCCCACGCCCAAAAAATCCATAGTTGAATAGAATTAATACATGCTAACCCAACTCATAAGAGTTCAGTTACAATTAGAATACCAATTTATTAATTAATCATAGAGAATACTCCTTGTCACTTATCAGAAAATTCACACGTGATGTCAGAATGCTGCTTTATTAATGTACATATAAACAGAATCCTGAATTAGTAATCAGAAGTTCACCATAAGTTAGAACGAAGAGAGAGTTTCAGGAATACCTAAAGAATTCATCTTTCTAGAGATCAAATTTGTGGCTTCCCCTGGTAGCGTCACTCTCCCTTGAATATTACCACCACAACACAGCTGACTTCTCAGTTCCTGAGCTTTCTTCTTCCATACCCTTTTGTCCATTAAGCACTTCTCTAAAAGGGCATAATAAAATTGATGAGGGTATATACACCTTACATGCATTATTATCTCTATTTTTAATATAAGAAACTCCCAGATAAAGCAGTTTAAGCAATTTGTCCAAGGTCACTACTAGTCTAAGGCAGAACATAAATTCAAAGCCAGATCTCAAGTCAAAGCCTATGCTTTTAATCTTGCAGTAAATGATGCCTTCACTGTTTTTCTCTAGGCCTCCCACTTCCTCAGTTTGAGTTAAATGTCCCTCCTCTATGTTCCCATAACACCAAAAGCATGCCATGGCTATAATTTTTTTTTTTTTGTATAAAGGTCTATCTCTCATTAGACTGAAACTTTTTAAAGATAGGGGTTATGTCTCTATCATCCTTGTATTTCCGAAGAGTGCTATTTCTCTGCGCAAATATGCAAACCAATTTTTCCAGTGGCTTAATATGAAGATCTATAAACTAAAGCCCTCAAACTAGCAACGTAGTCTTTGGAAGGTCACAGTTTCCCCAGCAATCTAAAAAAAAGTGGAACGAAATGGGTATACAACAATACAATAGATATACAAAGATGTACAAGGTCCCTTCTAGATCATCATTATAGGTGAGTCTTTGCTTCTTTATTAATGTGAATTATTAGAAATAAAATTAAGCTCCTCATTTAACCTCTCTACCACTCTAGCGACTCTATGTGTGTGTGTGTGTGTGTGTGTGTGTGTGTGTGTGTGTGAGGTGTGTGTGTGTGTAATGGAGTACTCCTTCTTTTCTGAAAGAACATAACTGTCATTTATAACAAATCAAACAGCGGCACCCTCCTCTGGTGAATGTTAAAGGAGTTAAACAACACAAAAGACAAGAATTAGACCAGGGGATTGTCCTCAAATGATATATAAAGAAAAACCTAGACAGAAATAATCCAATAGTATTTGTTATTACTATAGTCTCAACAACAACTAAATAGCTCCTTTTATAGCACTTACCCTATTTTGCCTTAAACCACAGCCAAAATGAATGAACAGGCTGCACATGGTAAAAGGTTATAGAGAGAACCATTATTCTATCTCTGAGGGTATATTAATTATTTTGCAAACAGCATGCATTTCAACATAAAGCACAATGAAAATCATAGTTTGGCTAAAAATGACCATATTTTCATTTAATATTAAAAATTTAATGAAAATGCCAAGTACATATAAAACAAGATAGTACTGGAAAATTTCAACCTGAAACCTGCTTGAGTCTTCAACTTTCAGGTTTTAGAAAATCAATTTAGAAGAAAAAAAACTGTAATCACCCAATCACTTATACACACAGGCTCAAAACATGCCAATATATCACATCTAGACCACCACAACCCAAAGTTTTACAACATTACTATTATATCAAAACCTTTTAATTAAAAGTAAAATTGTGCTAAGACCAAAATTAGATTATCATTAGCCAAGAATTTTAATATAGGATAAAGTATGTTTATTAAATGATTTACAAATGATAGAATAATAATTTCCTTCTCCCTTCCTGAGTCTAGGGACATAAAATGAAAATACAGACATTCTGACTCAAGAAAACAAATCAGTCCTTATACTGGCAACCTTATCATTCAGCTATGTTTTTGCCCAAGTATGCAGTGTCTCTTCCCAATTAACTTCACATCTTTCATCTAGGCTGTGGTCAAGAAGAGGGAAAACCCACATCAGACAAAAGGCTACAAAATTACTATTAGTAAGAAAATTTCATTTTTAAGATAGACAATAAAAAAGACTAAGGTGGATGGAAAATAGCAAAAACTGATTTCAGTTCTATCAAGAAAGTTTTCTGATTGTTTTTTTCATTCTTGGCAAAGTGGGTTCTACAGGGCAAGTAGAACAGAACCAGGGAAAGATTTGCAGATGGTGGGTGGAGAATGCAGATAAGATAACCAATTGAAAGTTTTTTCAATGTTTACCCAAAATCAAGGCCAAAGAACAAGCAAATGCCTGAAAGAGAATGACAGTCCCTACAGTTCCCTACAACCCACACAACAATCAGAGGGCAAAGAAGGGGAATCAGGTGGGAGTGAAGAAGAAGAATGGGGGGGAAAAGAAGAAAGGAAAAGAAGAGTAAGAAAGGATGCTGCCAAAAATTAAGAAAGAAAGTATGCTGTCAAAGGGAAAGGGGTATTAAGCATGAAACTTTGTTACAAACTGTCCAAAGAAAGATGGGGTGACTGGCCTGATGTTTTTTTTTTGTTTGTTTTCTGTTTTTTGTTTTTTTTTTTTTTTTTTGGAGCAGGACACTGGAGCCACATTTGTCAGACTTAGCCCAGGTCCAAGCCAAGGACAGGAACCAACCCTAGCCCCACCATCAGGAAACTAAGTCCCAGCAAACCACCCAGATGCAGCAGAAAAGTGAGAGAGACCTAAGCTGGCCTTTAGCCCCATCTCCTGCTCCCAAATGAACCTCCAAACAAAGGTGTTTACAAGCAAGGGGACATCTGCACCCCCATGCTGACTAGGGCACAGGAGTGAGGTCAGGGCACAGCCAGCTCTGCGGGCACGGGTATCTCTGCATAGGCGGGGGCATCACGGTCCCATGAAGCGATCTAGCTTTAAAAAAAAAAAACCTTGGGCCAGCGAGGAATGCTCTCTGTTGAACTCGCAAAGTTGATGGCCTTGGGAGGAAGAGCAGAGCCACTCTCGAGTTCCTCCCTAGAGTGAAGGCAAAGGGAAAGAGTCACGGTTTCCTTCACCCTCAACCAACTCTCTACCTTGCAGATTTTGTCCCTTTCTCTAAGAATACATCAAAGATACTGTCTTCCTTCTTTGTGGTAATGCATCCTCAAACTCTGGAACGGGGGCTCTGAGGCCCGGGACAAAAGTTCACTGGAAATACCATTAATTCTTCCCGAAAAACTAGCAGGGTCATTTGGCTTTGGAGACCTCATATTAAAACAGCAAGAAATATGTGGTGAATGACTCTCTGCTAAACAGGTCGCTCGGCTCCAAGGTCCCCATACAGCAGTGTTTGGGGCAACTTGAGCCACATCTGTCCAGACACCACGCCCCTCTCACCCAAGTCCTACCCCGTCGCACATGCGACATCCTGTTGTTTACACACACACACACACACACACACACACACACACACACTCACACACACGGGTGGGGGGGGTGGAGAGCGCACCCAGTGGAACTCCTACCTCGCCGCCGTGCCCATCGAAGATCCCAAAGATGGACGGGTGCGTTTTGTTGGCCAGGTCTGTAAGAACTTCGAAGCGATCCTCCATGTGGTCTCTTCGGCCCTGGATGGAATACACCGCCACGTTATGGCTCTTGAACTCCCAGGTCTTAGAAAACTCGGCCTCCAGCACGTCAAGCCCTCCAAGTCGATCGTTCTGCATAATCTCAGCCACCTTGCCCTTCACCATCTTCACCGCGTCCCGGCTGGACTTGACGATGGTCTTCACTTCGTCCGTGTGGAAGAAGTAACTCCAGAGCGCTAAGCTGATGCACAGCAGGAAAAGCGTCTCAGGTCTAAGCAAGAAGTAGCGCATGATGCGACCCAGCAGAGACAGCAAAGTCATCGTATCCTCTATCATTTATTATCACTAGAGCCCCAACCACCAGCAGCGACGCGCGCCCTGAAGGCTCGCCGGGTCCGAAGCACTGCGGGGACAGCCCGCCTGGAGGGAGGCGGAACAGTAGCCTAGGGTAGGGGGGAGGAAGCGCACGGAGCCGAGCAAGAGGCGGATGAGCTGGATGTTCCAAACCCGCACCGCAAGCAGAGGCAGTTTCCCTTTTGTCTCCCTGCCTCGGCGGCCCGGAGGCCGGTGCCTGCCGCCAGTGCCGCCTCCCCTCCTGCGCCCTTTGTGAAACGCGGCAGCCGCGGCGGCGGCGGCGGGGGGGGGGGGGGCGGTGGTGGTGGTGGCGGCGGCGGCGGCAGCCTCGGGTGCCGGGGCTGGGCGCGAGGAACCAAGTTAAAGTTGCGCCGGGCGGGTCTGCCGCGGCAAGCGAGAGTTCGGGGCGACCGGGCCCGCGCGATCCCTCCGGGAGTGCCCCCTCGCGGCTCCGGGGAGCGATCGGCAGGTGAGGAGGCTGAGGGCACGAGAGCCCGGCGGGCAAAGGATGCAGGTCCCCTCAGTGGCCGCTGCAGAGGGCGCGGAGACAGCTGAACGTTCCGACGCCTTCACACACCCCGGGGGGCCCAAGAGAATAAAAGTTTTGCAGGAGCCTGGGCTGAGGCTGGTAGACGCAGAGCCCGGCTACACCGCACAATCCGCACTGAGCCGCAGGCGGCCGGCCCGGCTCTGCCTGCCTCTCCCCGGCACCTCGCGGCTCGGCTCGGCTCGGCTCGGCTCCTTTCGGCTTTGCTCGCGCGCCCCTGGCTAGCACTCAGTCTTGCGCTAGCCCCGCCCCGCGCGCGCTCGTCCCGCCCCTTGAGCTAGGATTTGAGACCCTGAGGTGCTCCCCAACGAGCTGTCAGAGGCTGAGGAAGCTTTGTGGCGGCAGGCTAACGCGGGCAGACCGGGCCAATTCAAGCGAACCGAGGGGGAGTGAAGGAGCGCGTCCATTGTCTAGTTCTTGAAGATGGTAGTTCCTGCCTTTGTGCAGGCTCCCGGAACAATATAATCTCCTCCTAGTAGATCGAGCGTTAGTTTCGTGGGAGCCAGTGCTGTTCTCCGGGAAGCAGAGAGTCGCACGTGAGTGTCCCCCCCTCCGGCAGACTAGAAAATAGTACGCTCTTCTCCTCGCCTGACATAAGGCAAGCGAGAAGGGACGCACTTATCCCGACTCACAAAAGCGAGACCGAGAGAAACCTACCGTTTGCAGCCGCCTAAACAATCCGCAACAAAGGCCTGCCGGGATCTCCTGAGACGCTGAGAACGCCTAGGGACATGGCAACTTTCTCCCACCTAAGATCTGTAGAATAGGGGACTTGAAGTCCCATGCAAGCGCGTTCTGATGACAACCTCGGGAGGCGAGAAAAGGCTGGCCTCTCTCAAATAGCCTTTGTCCCTGGAGCTAGGAGCCCCCGCCACCAAGGCCTTCCCTGGTCACAGTCCTTCCACAAGCGACGCTGAGCTTCCGAATAGGACCCTGAAGCGCTCCTGACCACACAGCGGAGCGAGCGCTCTGACTGCCTTTCTAGTTTAAAAGTGGATTTGAAACTCCCAAGTAGCAGCCTCCTGCCGCCTCTCAACCATAGCAGGAGAAGGCGACGAGGGCTGCAGAGAAAAGTACAGGTTTACAGAAACCATCAAGTATAACCTGAAATTTGGGCAGGTGTCGGTGGGCCTTGAAGATGAAAATCTGCACAAGAAAAGCACAATGTACTTGTCAACTTAGAATATGGAAACAAGTGAACTTTAAAGGAAAATATCAACTCTGACTACCCCTGTCCAGGAAGAAGAGTGCTGATCTGGTTCATCCAGTCCGCTGGACTGGAAGAGTATAAACTGCCTGATCTCAGGAAATGGTATCCCAATTTTTTAAAATTAAAATTTTAAAGCACTTGAAGGAAATACATCAAAATGTTCACAGTGATAACCACAATAGTAGATTAATATGTGATTTTCATTTTCTGCTTTAGATTTTTTTCTATTTTCCACAACTTTGCCAAAGTTCCTACAAAAGGCAGGTTTCCATCACAAAAAAATAAAACTTGATCATTTAAATGGTGCATAGGATATGATCCCAATAATACAAACATACAAAAAAAGAAAGGAAATATGAAGAACTGTTAATAGTCTATAACATACTGTTGAAAACTGAATATTCTGTTTGAAAACTAGGATATGGTTTCCTGCTCTACTTTACACTTTTCAATATTTTGAGAAAATATTGATAGAGAAAACAGTTTAAAATAAATTAGGTCATTTTGTTCAATAGTCAAGAGATTCCCAAATCAGATAATAAACTCTAAATCCTTTAAGAACAAAAATGTTATTTCTCAGTATTACTATGAAGACAAGTTTACATTATTTACTACTGTAAATTATCCATTTACTTTTCATTGCATTATTACATGAAACTTTATGGCAAGAGCAATTTGTAGATAAACTGTTAAAGACTCCAGAACTATAAGTCAGATGAGGCCCCTGAAGTAACAGTAAAACCACACAACCAAAAGCACATTCAGTAACATTCCTATAGTGATGACTTTAGGACACACACTCTGTTTCCTCCATAACTATGTAGAAAACACAGGTTACTATAATGATCTCTCTGCAGGTTAATTAGCAAGGCACAATTTGATGAATTAATTAATAAACCCAGACTTCCTGCATATTCTGTGGAGATAATGCTTTGACATTTACATCTATGTAGTTCATCTATGTGGAAATCAATAAAATAATTTTTCAAGCAAATCTCCTAGGCATTTTCCTATTAAGAAATTCACATAGTTTACTTGGCAATTTTTAAAATGCTTAAATAAGCTTTTTGTTAAACTTTATTGTAAGTTCTAATATATCAGAGTTTTTAAAAAGAGACTTTAGTGACAAACACATTTGCATATTATGTGAAATTACAAAGATTTTTATAGGGCTGGGGTTGTGACTCAGTGGTACAGCACTTGCCTAGCACATGTGAGGCACTGGGTCTGACCCTCAGTACCTCATAAAAATAAATGAAATAAAGATTTTCATATATAGCTACTTATTTCTATTCTTTTATCCTCAGTCCTCTGAGGAAGACAGAGGAGTTCTTGTCTTTTTATAAATATGAGGGAAAGTGAGGAACAAAGAAGTTAAATGAATACCACAATTCAGCAAATTAGAAGTTGAAACTGAAGTTCAATTATTCTGATAACTCATTCACTAGTCTAACATCCATTGATTACCACCAAGATGATTAGTCTAATATTTATACTTCTCTTATACATTTCAGTGGATCCCTGTATAGAAATCTCAAGAAAAAAAAATGCATGGATTCTTATTCTGCAATTCTGATTTTAGCCTTTGAGACAAACACTGCCCTGTGAGTATTTAGTTCACACATTGAGAATAACTGTGGGTCAGTTGTAAATAAACTGTCCTTTGTACCTAAACACCCAAAAGATCTGCTGCTAAGGTGAAATACTGTCTAAATTTCACAGAGAAAAAAAGAGGTATTATAAAATGTATATTATGGGTTGGGATTGTGGCTCAGTGGTAGAGTGCTTGCCTAGCATGTGCAATGCACTGGGTTCGAGTCTCAGCACCACATATAAATAAATAAAGGTCCATCAATAAATAATAAAAATATTTTTTAAAAATAAAATGTTTATTAAACAAATGCTTTATTATTATAAGTAAATTGGGAATGAACACAGAGCTAATGGCAAACCTAGGTTTTCATAAGACACAAAAGTGATAAAATAATTTCTAGGTAATAACCATATTCTACTATCAAATGGCTCAGCTGAGCCTTACAAGTATATAAAGAACATTAAAAATATAGCTTTTAAAAAAATTTATTCTGGGCTGGGGTTGTAGCTCAGAGGTAGAGTCCTTGCCAGAAAGCGTGAGGCACTGGGTTTGATCCTGGCACCACATAAAAATAAAGGTATTATGTTCATCTTCAACTAAAAAAAAATTAAAATAATAATTTATTCTAAGAAAAAATTTCAGTGTAGTTTGTCTTAAGGTATAAAATATATTAAAATAAGATTTTAAAACCAATAAATCTATTTCAAATATGATGATGTCCTCATTTTGTTTTTGCCACCTTGTACAAAGTTAAAATAATCAAATATGATTATCAGCTGAACCTCTGGATGATGAATTTGATTTTAAGACCAACTGAAATCATCTCAAATGAAAATTTTATACATATTTAAGTTCTCTGCAGAATTTTAAATTTCCCAATACAATAAGTTGTATTATTAAATAGTTCTTTCCATTGCCCAGAAATATATACTGGGCATTGAGTAAGACTAATATTCTATCAATATACACTTAAATATATGTAACCTTTTTTGAACCCAGAAGGCTTTACCACCAAGCCACATCCTCACCATTTTTTTTTTTTTTTTTGAGACAGGATTTCACTAAGTAGCTTAGAGCTTTGCTGAGTTGCTGAGGCTAGCCTGAACTTGCAATCCTCCTGTTTAAGCCTCCTGAGTCTCTTGAATTACAGGCATGTGCCACCACACACAGCTAAATTTTCAAGTTATACATATAAAACAGTGCATGTAGGTATTGTCAGGAAGCACAACAACTATGATTACTACACCTATGAACCTATCGCCCAACCAAAAATCTGGGCTATGGTTAACATCTTTGTGCCTGCCTAGGAGTTCTTTCCCTATACCACTTCTCCACCTGTCCTCCTTGGTTCACTTGAGTATCACTCCCTTGTCTTTTTAAAAAATAACTTCATCACATGTGTCTGCCTCCCTAAGTAGTATATTTTTAGTTTTGCTTGTTTTTCCAACTTTATTAAACAGTATCTTACTATACATAGTTCTCTAGTACTTGTGTTTTATTTTTACTTGCTATAGTTCTATATTCTCACATATTGCTACATATAGTTTAATCACTTTTTTATTATTTTTTTAGTTGTAGTCAAACACAATATCTTTATTTATTTACTTTTATCTGGTGCTGAGTATCAAACTCAGCGCCTTGCACATGCTGGCGAGCACTCCACCACTGAGCAACAACCTCACCCCATAGTTTAATCATTTTTACTGCTATATAATATTTCATTATGTGACTCCCATAATTAAGGTATTCATCTTCTTTTGTGGGTATTTGAATTTCCAATTTTTGTTATTATGATCAATGATTTTATAAATTATTTTTGCACTATCTCTTGGTAACCATATGCAAAAGATAGGAGTGAAATGGCTGGATAGTAGAGAATGAAAGTGTTCGACTTTACAATTTAGAGTCAAATCATTTTTTAAATTATGTTAATCCCATTCACACTCCCACAAACAATGTAATCAAAACTCCTTAAAGTAAGGAACAATATGAATTCTTAAAGTTAATTTTCAATATTGATTCTTTTAGAAAATGGTTAAATATGATCATGACTATTAAACCATAGTTTCTCATACATTTCCAGATATAAATTTATTAATAAATCTTTAGTTTTAAATGTACTTTATGTGAAACAAAGAATACTTAAGTAGTACAGCTATGACAAGAAGTATAATAGTATGTCAATTTGGATTTATTTTAATATCACAGATGTTCTGTCAAATGAAGAACTAATATAATAGAAACTGGTCATTGTTCTGGTAAGGTACAATTATATTTCATTGGAATCCAAAAGCATAGGGTTGTTTTCTACAAGTTTTAATATCAATAATAGAGATAGATCAAGAATATTTATATCCTGAATAAAACTATTTACATAAATCTATTTACATAACCATACTTTGTAGCAAATTGTTTACATAAGCCATATTTATGGGCTGGGATTGTGGCTCAGCAGTAGAGCACTCGCCTAGCACAGGCAGGTCCCGGTTTCAATTCTCAGCATCACATAAAAATAAAGGCATTGTGTTATGTCCATCTACAAAAAAAGATTCATATTCTCTCTCTCTCTCTCTCTCTCTCTCTCTCTCTCTCTCTCTCTCTCTCTCCTTTAAAAAAAATATTTATCCTAAGAATCCTTTCTCTAATTGCCCTAGACTTCTTTCTTTTTAAAAAAACATTTTCAGTGTAGATATACATATTTTATTTATTTTTTTATGTGGTGCTAAGGATCGAACCTAG